ACTTGCTTGATTTTCAATTCATAATTTGCTAATAACCATACATTATCTTTACAATTGCTGTTTAGTCCTGTATTTTTATTTTATTTTACTAACTTCTATAAGAGTTCCTGTAGATTCTTTTCTGTGTGTACTATCAACACTGTGTCATCTGCATATCTTATGTTGTTAAGATTGTGACCGCCAATAATGAATCCTGGTAGGACTTCTAATTCTCTAATAATTGTCTTACTGTAAAGGTTGAAAGACAAAACACTATTGTCTTATGCACCTTTCTATTTTTGTATATTTACTGAATTCATATTCTATCCGTTTGCAGGCGGTTTGCTCCCAGTATAAGTTCTGTATGGATCTAATATATTTCCCAAATAAATGAATATAAGTCTAATTCTGCTGCATTCGTTATGAGTCATGAGGCTCATTCAGTTGATTGTCCCATGGAGTTCACATTCATTTGCATCTGTTTTTCTAGACAACGCTATGAAAATGAATATAAGGTATTCCAATATATTACAATTGTTGTAGATTTAATTCATTATTTCTGTAATTTTGTCAATGCCGAAATCACCTAATGCTCTCAACATTTCTATTACAAATCCAATCTGGTCCTGCTGTTCATGTTGGTCAGTGCTGACTTCAATTCAATTTCTGGTCCTTCCATATGTTTGTGCATTGTAGGTTTTCCTCTTTCGTTGTGGAAAGAGTTTTCTAATGTATTCATTCCATTTTTTAAGTATTTTTACTTTCTCTGCTATCAGCATTTTCGCTTTCGATTTTATGCATCTTGTAGATGATCACATCTTTTGGTCTGTTATTTCTCTTCTTTTATACATATCTGCCTGATCTGTTATGCTTATTCTTTCTATTTCTGCACTCTTTTCGTTGATTCATTTTTTTTTTTTTTTTTGCCTGCATGAATTTATTTCTAATTTCTTTGTGCAATTTCCTATATATCCTGTGTATCATACCCCTTGGGGGCGGCTACTACGCAATTAGAACAATAATTTTAACATGATTAAACGATACGTTAAGTAAATATATTATTTTAACTTCTTTATTTGTAATATTTAAAAAAATGATGATGTATTATATTTTATATATTTTGAATAGGTTTGGTCCCAGCTAACTTTGTCCCTTGCGACTGACCCTTTGGGAAAACCACTGGAAGAATGTTTGGCTGAAATCTATGACCAATTAGAAAAGCCTTCATTCCGAACGATGTTTAATTTCACATCTGATCAATGCCATGTAATAAGCATGAAGCTCAATGTAGATACGTCTCCTAGTATGTGCCCAGTAGGAAAATATTTGGCTGTTCCTTTCATAGGTGATCCTGTCTGTTGTAAGTTTACTGTTTAACTAATGTACATTTTTCTCTTAAGTCCTACAACAATTATTGTGATAAAAAGCATCAGGAACACTTACTATTCATTTATTTTGTCTCTTTATAATGAACATAATGATTTTGAGTGACATCACTGAGCTAGGATAAAAAATTTTTCTTAGATAAAGCATTTATGAAAAAAGGTCATTTTTTTAAAGATTTTACTAGAATTTTTATTTTTGCAATGTTCAATGACTTTTTTCTTGATTGTTAACTCATGATTCCTATTTATTGCCTTCCAAATACAATTTTATAATCAAATACTAACAAATATTCATTTTCATATGTTTGCTTAATGCTATTATTAAATCTGCACAGTGAGAGCCAAACTCAAATCAGACATATTTGATGAGTTGCAGATGTCAAATTAATTAATAGAAACACTGAAAAAATGTCTTTGTACATAAGATTTACAAACAACTTGATTTTCCTATCATTATCTCTTTTAAAAGGTGATAAATCAAGCAAATATATTTTTAATCTCATAAACTTCAATTTTCTCCAATGTATAATAAAGGCATCATATCAACATAATTGTATCAAACTGATAAAGGAATAACAATGGTTTATAAAATAAAGCTTCTTATATATAAATACATTCAAAATATTCTCTAGCATTTCAGAAAACATTTGTTTGTAGCAAATTAATAACAGTCCACATATTTATATTCATATGCTTGCAATGAAAATTCACACACACCAGTTTTATGTTAAAAATTACACGTGCCATCTAATAATATAACATTATTTAATGGTATCTTTTTACTTTATATTTTCATTTATCTAGTACCCTGTACTACAGGAACATGGTTTAATGGTCACAAATGTGAATTGTGTCCAACTGGTACATACCAAGACATGCCAGGAGAGTCTGAGTGTAAGAAATGCCCAAGTAAAATGACAACCTACAAGAGTGGATCAACTGTAATTGAGGATTGTGTTGGTAAGAAATGTGACTACTCTTATGTTCTAATTGTGCACAGTCACAAGTATTTTCCTGGTGAGACATGAATTTCAAGTTAGAATTCCTTACAGTATATTGAAGGATATATAAGTAATAATCCAGGCAATTCCAATTTTTCCAATCATTTTTTGTGTCCATGATCTGTAAATTAATAGAATGTTAGTAGTGAATTTTTTTATGAGGTCAAATGATAGTTCTGAGGTGATCATCTATAAGTGCCTTCATATTTTTTAGTTTTAGATATTTTCATAATCAAGCAATAATGACATGTTTTATCTAAAAATGAGGTTATTCAATTATAAAACATTTTTAGTTCAAGATTACAGGAATTACAGGTTGAGCAAAGAAAAGATTTCTTAATTTCAATTGATAAAGACCTGTTCAGATGCTATAGACCACAGGAATCACTGTTTCTGACTGGAAAAACGTGATACTTCTGGTCTCAACAGACATCTCTTTGTGTCTGCTCATAATAATTGTAAACAGTTTAACATTCCAACCACCTGAAGAAGGCCAGAGCGTACAACAGTCGAAACGTTGTGGTAAATATGGCAGAAAAGGTGAGAGCAATAGTCCGAATAATGTAAATAGTGTACATAATACCTCATCTCAGAAATATAGATAGATATTGTAAACAGGTTGTCAATGAAGCTAAGCAGTTGTTCCGACAGAATGAGGCACCATATAGCCTCTAACAAGTTTGGTTGTTGTGAGTATTGGTGGTTCTATAATAGTGTGTTAAATAACAGTGAGTCTTCGATCCTCCTTCTCTTCACTCAATTTGAGGTGTTATCCTCTTTTTGATAAAGCAGAATGCTTTACTTATAAATTCTCTTCCAATTCTACTTTTGAATCATCTGGAGTATCTTTGCCAGACTTTCTATTTAGAACTGAGTCATTATTGTGGGATATGCATCTCTAAACTGGATCCACACATTTCTGCTATAGTCCTAAAGAAATGTGCTCTTGAACTGGGTCCTGTTTTCTCTAAACTCTATAATAAATGCTTTGTTTCTTGCTTTCCTGATAGTTGGAAATCCTCTTCTGTAGTTACTGTTTTTACACATGGGTGTACTATATGATCCTTCTAACTATCGACCCATTAGTCTTCTACCTCTCTTTGGCAAGTACTAGAGGCTCTAATCAACTCTGAATTGGTTAAGCATCTCACCTTGCAAGGTTTTCTTTCACATAAGCAATATGGCTTTTGCTTCTCTAGGTCCACGAATGGCGTGTTAAAAGTTATTGCTGTCAAGCTTTAGGTAAGAATGGTAAGTTTGTCAAGATTTGGGTAAGAATGGTGAAACTCAGTCTGTTGCTTTGGACATTTTGAAAGCATTTGGGAAGGTTTGGCATGCTGATCTTCTTCACAAGGATGTGGTAATTCTGGACAAATTCTTAATTTGATTCAATCTTTCAGATCAAATAGTGAAATGAAAGATGTCTTGAATGGCCACTCTTCTAGACAATTTTGCATTAATGTGGGTGTCTCTCAGAGATTTATCCTTGGACCTACTTTTCAACAACAACTTTCCTGATGATATCAGTTTTTGACTCTGTACCTATGCCAATGGCACAACTATTTGCTCTTGTAGTAATGGTAAGCCTGATAGATTTGATAAGGTCAAATTCACAACTGATCTAAAAAATCACCTTCAATCTGTTAATTGAGACAAAAATGTCTTGTTTAATTTTAACAATTTCAAATTGAAACTGATCTCTCGATTTTTTTACATTCCATCAGCATGGCTGGTGTTAATTTCCAGCATAATGATTCATTGCACCTTCTCTGGCTAACCATTTTTTGCTGACATGAATTATATTGAATCAATTGCTAGGTTTTCTGCTTGGAAGGTTGGTTTACTGTGCTAGATAATTTCTTTCTTCAGAATCTGTTTTACACATTTATAAATCTACCATTCGACCATGCATTGAATATTGCTGTCACATCTAATCTGGTGCTTCTGCTATTTATTTAAAGATTCTTGACAAAATCCAAAGAAGAATCTGCAAAAGTAATCTGTTTAGACCTGGTATCTTGGCTTCAGTCATTTTCTCACAACTCTAATATGGATTTCTTGTGCCTTTTCTATAAATATTTTCATGATAACTTTTCTGATGAGCTTTTCTCTTTGTTACCATAACTTTACAAATTTAAGCAGCTAGGTCTCATCATTTTACAGATTATATGGCTAAATGTAATCGTAAGTTATATGCTAATAGTTTCTTCTCTTGAACTTCTTGCTTCTGGCTTCTTGCTTTCCAATCAACTTTGATCTTTAAAAATGTAAATGCAATGGCAGTTATCATTTTCTGTTTCCTTAATTTCTGATCTTTTATTGTCCTCTCTTATTTGTTTTTTCTCAGATTCTTTCATGCTCAGTAATCTTTTGTGTCATAGTAGATTTATCGTCTTGCTTGAGGTGAAATGATGAAAAAAATAAAAGCTAGGTAAATCAATGCAATGCAATGAGTTGATTAAATTGTGAGAAACTTTCATTTTATATATGGATTATCTTTTTAGCTATTTGTAACCCTGGATACTTGAACAAGGTTGGCAACGTTGGCAATAGTTTAATATGTGTGCAATGTCCAGTGAACACTTACTGGTTATCAAATGGAACTTGCATTCGATGCCCTCCAGGAACATCAACCATGAATAAAATGGCACAAACCAAATGTATTGGTAAGTTAAACACTTTTATTAATGAATAAAGATTATTATTTATTGTAATTAATGGAAAATTCACAGATTAATAAGTTTTTACAGAGACATGCAAAATAAGGCACCCAAGAACAGTCTGTAGCATCTAAAATTTTTAAACTGGTTATTTTATTATCAGATTCAACCAAGAAACCCTTCTTCAAAATAATCTGTTTGGTCATGGTAAGAGCCACAGTTGGTGCCAATTGTGACTGTTATTTTTGTCAACTTTCTTATTCACTCTTACATTACATTTCAGGTTACTGCTTTCCTCTCTTTCAACAAGTGGGAATTTTTAAATTCCTAGAATCCCCTCAGTGTCTTATTTTCAAGATTAATTTGAAGGACTTTGTCAAATGCATTATTATCTACTGAATATATATATATATATATATATATATATATATATATATATATATATATATATATATATATATATATATATATATGTATTCTATAATTTCACAATTTAGCATTTATATTGTTTACATCAAATCTTGAAAAATATTTCAGAGTATCTTTTATATGGTTGATTATAAAATGTATAAACTCATTTTTACCGGGTAATACTTATCGGGCATAGAGTAAATCGAACAAAGATCTGCACTCCTTACACTTTGTCCCCCCTAAACCAATAAGTTTTATTCATTGTTATAAAAGTTGAAATTGGCCAATTTTTTATTCAATTGGTAATAGAAGAATACTAGAATACTATTTAATTTACACATCATTTTTTGTAGCATAATGAGATTGTACCAAAATCAAACAAAAATCTTCATGCTAACATTTTTGAAAATTCACTCAAAATGGATTAGTTTTCCCCATTTAATTCATTGCTTTTTTATAAGATTTTAAAGTCTTTTTTTTTTCTTTTTTTAGGAGAATGTCAACCAGGTACTTACTCTGCAACGGGTTATAGTCCTTGTAAGAAATGTCCAATTGGATTTTTCCAACCACATTCTGGAGAAAATGCTTGCTTTGAATGTAGTTCAGAACAGACAACCTTGAACACGGGATCTATAAATCACACACAATGCATTAATGCTTGTAAGTTACTTTTGGGTTTACAAAACAAGAAATCTTTATTTTTGTGTTGTGCTGATTATTATTTTGAATGTAGAATATAATCAGATTATATTTTCCATTCATTTCAGCTGTTCAATCCTGAACATTATCTACGAGAAATTGATAAAATATCAAGTTTTTTATGGGTAATTCATACACAATAATCCCCACTTTTATAAAATTTTAAACAAAAAATATTTTATATTTGTTTTGAAAGCTTAGTAATAGTAAAACAAAGAACATGTATACATTTTAAGTTCACTGCTTTTTTTCTTGACAAATTCGCACTTTTCAGTTTGGCCATAGAATACGTAATATAAAGTTCACCCTTACTTCAATTGTGGCAAGAAGTAGTGATTGATTCCAGGGTTACCAAAAGTTAATTGACTAACTTAAGCTTAAATCTTTATGAGAAGGTGATTTTGCTGAGATGTTTTCCATACATCTTAATTGTTTATCCTACAGATCTGTGTACATGCATACATATTGGTATAGCATTTATTCTTTATTTTGCAGGAATATTAAATATTCATTCCATAAATATTGGAACATATAAACCTATAGTGATGTCCATATATATATATATATATATATATATATTAGTACAGTCAAAATAGGAGTGTAGCTGAGTAGTTAGAACATTAGCATTTTCAATAACACCCAGGTTCAAATGTCACTTATTGATTTGTGAAGGAGGTGATTTATTGATAATATCATCATATGCCACTATAAGGAAGTACCTGACACCCATAATCAATGTTGGCCCAAGTCTTGTAGATGAAATTAGGTTAAAAATGACAATGGTTATGGTTGTAAGAAGTTACAAGTCATTGTAAACGAGGGTTTAAGTCTTATTCCAAATGGTGATCACATCAGATTATATGCTTTAACTTACAAATTGTAACTAAGGTCTGCTCAGCATAGTTGTGGTATAAACTACAGTTTGGCTCTGTGGGTGTTGAAGAAGCACAAATGTGCTTGAGCAGATTAGCTAACCACCATAGAGGAGGGTGTACTCAGAAATGAGCAACCAGCCATAACATGTAGACTTGTTTATATGTTTGCCTTATAAAGTTCCTGCAAGGACAAAAAGCATTTGCTAAATTAAGTTTTCCTTTTGTCTATTCATGTGTGTATGTGGCCCCAAGAAAATAGCGATACTTATTATTTAAAAAGCATTTTAAAAATGAAAAACCTTTCTTGAAGCCTTTTTAAAAATTTTAATTCGAAGCTAATAGGTTAAATTTAATATTTCTAATAAGCAAAATACTTTGCTGTAATTAAATTAAATGGAGTCTGGTAGGTTTGTCTGTGTGTTTAAATGGGTTCTAATAGAGCTCTGGTCAGATAGATGTAACGTAAGGCGTCTGGGTAGGCATGTAGTTGTGTGAACGATGTAATTTTTTATGAGTTCGGTTTGATCAGGAACACAGTTCCTTTAGGGGCATTTGAACTTATAGATAATGTTTGTTCGTTGTAATTTTGACTTAGCTGGTGTGTTGTTATTTTCGAGAATAAGGTTAGCTGCCTTAAATTTTTTATAGTAAATAATTCATTTGATTTTTTTTATTCAGGTCGATTGGGGTAGTCTATGTCTTTATAATATTTCTAAGTGAAGATTCATCTTGCTTGTAGTTAATGTGCATTTGGTTTTTGTAGAAAATATTTATGTAATTTTTGACTGTATGTTTACTATCATTATTGGGAGAAATAGTCTAATTTGGTGGTCTATAAGGTGGTTAGGAAAGCCATTGTTAATTTGTGTCTGTTTTACATTTTTTAAGGAAGAGTAGTCGAGAGGATGAATTCTGGTGTGCTCTTTTTAGGAAGTTTTTTATTACTGCTATTTTATATGTAAGTGGACATTCACTTTTAAAGTTAAGGTGGAAAGAGTTTCTGCTAGTGGGTTTCTTTTATATAATGAGATGATAAAAAGTGTTATTATATTCTACGAGAACATCTAAGACTGAGAGTTTGCTTTTTACTAAGTTCGTAGGTAAAGTTAAGGACAGAGTTTTTTTCTCAAATGTCGTCTTAAGTGTCTCGATTTCTTTAGTGTCATTTGATAAAATAAAAATATCGTCTGCGTAGCGGACATACATTTTAGGTTTACATATGCACAGAGATTCTACTAAAACACCCATGACATAAAAATTTGATAATATACAAACTGTCTTTTTTTGTTTTGTTTTTTTACTTATTTTTTCCTTACAAAAATATGTAAAAATATATGACATATGGTGGGTGATGAACCCAATAACGAAAATAAAGTACAACAAAACACTCAAACTAAAATAAAATATGTTAGTAAGATCACCACGGAAAAATTAGAGTGACCACTGTATTCTGATGATAAACAGAATTAAGCAGACAAGCTAGAGGCAAGGGAAAGGCAAAAATAAATTACGGAATAGGAAAGTCAAAGGCTGATCCAATCAAGATAAAAAAAGGGGGCAAAAACAGACTGGGAAGGATGGGAATCTTGACATGGATCATAACAAAAGAGAATGCCGGGAGATGGTCGGGATCAACATTTACTCAAATTAACTAAGTGAACAAAAGCGTCTAGCTTAACCCGGGATCAAGAACGCGCCCCGTTTGGCCTATAGGTGATTAAAAAGAAAATCAAGACTGGCCCGGTTCACGCGAATCAAACTTGCCACATTTACACACCATTCACTAAAATCTGCCGAGATCAAACGCTTTCTATCAGATCTGATCTTCATCCTAATCTGATATCCAAAGAATTTAATCAGATCCTGATGAGAATAATGTTTTATCCGTAAGATTCCCTCTAACCACGTCCACACCACCATCCTTACCACGGCTAGCAGCGTCAGAAACACCATCCGTTTCACTCCAGACCACTGGGTCGACACATTAACGCACACATATGCGATCGGATTGATACGAGCCGTTAACTCGTCACAGGACGGGTGGACCTGAGGACTTGGAAGAAGGTGTGCACAACCGTTTTCTCTACACCACTATCACATCGGAGGCAATCAGGCATATCTGCCCAGCCCACTCTGAAAGCTCACCGACGATGTGTCACCACTGCTGCTCACCAATATCCTTGGACCAAGACGCGGGCACAAGTCTTTCACATAGCGAGGTATATCGTCAAGTATCACTGTTAATTCTAGTGACTGAATTTCGACGTGCATTGGCCCTGTGTTTTTTTTTTTACGGAAACGCTATTTCCCATTCTGTACTGGTTTGTCATTTCTTCAGGCATGTGGTGTCGATGCTTTTCAACCGGTGCTTTGTACGTGTTGGCAAATGTATACCGGGCTAACGTGTCGTCCTTGGGTGCGTCATTATACCAATAGAGCGCTTCCATAACTACGATTACCTTTAGAGATCAGTAGCATTTCTCTTGTGTCATTTCCTGCATGCCCGTACTTACATCGCAGTTAGATCCGGATGCCCTGTTCACTAGAAACTGTCTAAATAACCGGTTGCAGAATGCCGTGTCATTATCGGCGAGGAGCTCGACTGAAGAGGAGGAGGAGTATCGTTCGTAGATTCCAACCTGTCGGATGATATTCCCAGTGTTTTGCCGCATCTGCGGGCGCCAGTTCGGAAATCGCGTGGCGCCTCAATCGATCAATGTTAAAAATGACCGATGTTGGAGAGAGAGAGAATGAGAGAGAGAGTTTACGTGTATCACCTTTGCTTGCCATTTGAGCGCGAGATTGATTCCTTTCAGTAGAGCCTCGAGTTCCGCCACATTAATATGCTGTGTGTCGTTTATTGGTCGCAGCCAGAATCATCTTCAATGGTAGCTCTGTTCGCGTACAGACACTGTCACAGCCAGTGAACCCGCATCCACTCGCACGTTTAGTTCCTTCCCATCTACATATCACTCGCCTTGAGCAGGGTTTTGTCGCTGAAACCTAGTAATCACCATTTGTTTCACGAACGCATTATCGATTTCTTCATCCCAGCCTTGCATGACGGCGGTGGCTTTGCGTTTAATGAAGCCTGTTGCCACACAAAGCCACACACACACGGCAAATTGCCCCACAAGTTTGCTACACATTGAAGAGACATTTCTTCGTGTGATGGTCGGAGAATCATTTACTATATCGCTTCCGCGTCATCACCACAGTTTGTATTGCCCCTCCCATACTTCTAGCCCCAACCACCATTTTTCAGGTCTCTCGGTCATTACTAGTCAACTCGTACCTTCCCAGATGCTTGTTCATTAACATATCGCCGATATATGCCGACATTGCTCTTATTGTTTCGTCCTGTGCAAACACTACGGATGACATTATCTAGTGATATTAGATTCATGCTGAATCGCTTGAACCTGACAGTTTGGTACAGCCATAGGAATTTTTCAATGTGTGATAAGAATTTGAAAGGGACAGTAAAGGGAGCTAACTCTTTACCATTCAAAGATCATCCTTGAACTTGAAACTCTTACTAACTCTTGTCCAGTCAGGATCCCTTCTCGGGGCCACGCAGTAAACTTGATCCTGAAATCTTCTTTTTTTACTACTAACAGCCGTAGTGATCACACATTTATTCTCTTCTAACTGCTAAATCCGCAAATATAAATTATATTTACAAACCTTCTTTTTATCTATTGTGTATACACCCTTTTCTGTATATTAAACCCGTTGAATTTAACATTGTCTTTGAGTTGCTTCTTGTCTTCAAGTGTGTCTGACTTTGTCTTTAACTTTGTGGAATTAACTGCATCCGAGGAAAATCTTTATAGTGAACATGCCTACTTGAGGTCCAGGATATATACATTAGTACACTGCTGTCTATTCTCGTTGCTTCTCCGCGTAAACATCCGCAGTGACTGTAAACACGTCAACGTAGGTATTCGATTCTCAATAATCAATTACTGGACGTACCATGCGCTTATTGGCTTGCATTACAACCATCAGCGGTATCAGCACAAAGTTCCTTGTTGAGATGACAGCAGCAGCCAACCGTTGTTCAACCCTATCTGAAGCTCACCTTCGTATTCTACCCTCAACTGACACGACACCGGATATTCCGAAACCATGTTTTCAACTTTCTCAGGTGTACAACTTGTTGACCACTTCCAAGCTCTCGACATGAAACGTCGCACAGATAAGCATTCTCTCGTCAAATTTCACATTTCCAGTGCGTGTGATGCAGACACCACCTAATGCTTTAATGGTGTCGATAATAAGTAAAAGGTCGAAATCAATGGCCTCTCTTGCATTACCAGCACGTTATTGTGGCAGCTTTGCCGGCTTCCATGCTAATCCTCACAGTACAAGCCCGTGTATCTCCAGTAACTGTGGTCACCTTCACGTCCTGATTTGACCAGAACGTGAGCATCCAGTGTCTAAGAAGTCTGAACATGGTATTCCGTCGTTGTAGTCGGTGACAATTGGTAGTTGCCTTATTCCCACCTTGGCTGGAAAAGAGACCGACGTCTTGTGGCTGATCTTTGTTGCAGCAGTAGCAGCGAACGCGAAACGTTTGTCCCTTCTGCAAGCAGTCCCTTGCCAAATGGTTGGATCCATTACATCTATAGTAGATAACACTCGCTGGGTGGGTTGCGCAGCGGCTATGACCGGTTCCGCCACGGTCGACTCGTCCATAATCGCCCGGGTCCAGGCCAGCAGCTCTTCAATAGGGAGCGTGTCCATCCTGGAGGATGAATGCAGGTGCCTCTTCACGAGGTCAGGAAGACGATCTACGAAAACTCACGCTATTGTACGCTCCAGCATCTCTCCGAAAATGTTCGCCAAATAGACGTTTACAGTTTCATCAAGGCGCAACAAACTCCCCGTATGTCGTGAAGCAGTCAGTGGCAAAAGTAGTGCATAATGCATCCTTGGTTCAGGCTGCGTCGGATTTTTCCTCCTAGGTCAATTGTTGATTGACTGAAAACTCTCCTTCTGTCAGTTGAAGTATGAAGCATACATTCCAGTCTCATCTCGCCACATAAATCGCTTAGCAGTTCCACTTTCTCTATTCACTCCACCTTGGACACAAAACCGTCAAACTCGGGAATCAGTTTACTTGAACTTGTCCTCCGTCATCTTAGCAAAATAGCTTGTTTAAGATTTTGTAAAGAAAAAGAACAAATTCATAACCTACACACACACACACACACACACACACACACACACACACACACACACACACACACACACATACATTTAATCTGTATGCCTGACTATCGACAATTATATCAGGTATGCCAGTCTGTGCATGCGTGCTTCCAAATTGAAACGGCGGTCTAAGCATGCAAATTGTCATTGCCTATTCGATCCTGGTAAATGTGTTGAATGTTCGTCACAATACAGTATTAAATTTAAAGTAAAATCAGCTGATTGAAAACTATAGACCGATTGTAGCAACAAAGATTGGCATTTGTTCTTTATTAATGCATTTTTGTAGACTATTTAACCTAGAATAATTATTCGTAGATAACGGACTTTTCCTAATTGTTTACCAAACGATTTTTCTGGTTTATCGCTTGTGATTCAACAAGACAGAATAATAATGTTAAAATATCTTCTTTTTGTAGATGGTCATTATTGCTCTAACACTGTAAAGTGTAAAAACCAAGGCAGATGTGAGGTAATCAACCATAAAGCTTTCTGTCATTGCATTGAGGGTAAGGAACAAAATGCATTCATATTGACTAAATTATTTACATTTTACATTTAAGACACACACTTAGATGAGTAATGAATATCATCAATCCAATTAATTTGAAAATTTAGTGCTATAAAAGTATAAATTCTTAGTTCTATTGTTGCTAAGTCTATGTATATTGTTTTGATTGAATTAACTGTGAATATAATATGAAGTAGATTTGTTGAATAATGACTTGAAATAGAATATTCATATTGATGTTTGATAACAATAATGAAAAGGGATCCTCACTTAAAAATAAATAAAAATGATTTTCATTTGAATACATTGATCAGTATGAAGAATATGTCCACATTTCTTGGTTTACTCATATTAATCTGACATCACTGGAATAACTTTTATAAATATAAGAGATATCAGTATCAAATTTTTCTTCCATTTTTACTTCTAAAATGATAGCTAAAACAAAGAATACTGATTTTTTTTCACTGTAAATGATTTTCTTTTTGTTTAAATATTCCCACAGTTTTTGCTGTAGTAAAATGAATCTATTATTTCTTGTAAATGAAAAAGAGTGACAAATGTCATTGCTAATGTTACTTGTGCATTTCAGGTTTCAACGGGCCTAGGTGTGAGACAAAGCTAAACCCTTGTGACTCTCATCCTTGTTTCAATGGGGGAAAATGTATACCTGACCCAATCTTGTTCTCATATACATGTGAATGTCCAAAAAGTAAGTGTCAGCAATTAGCAGTTTAGAAAGAACATAATAATCAGAAATACTATTGTTGTTATTGTAGTTTGAGTTTCTGGGCATTTAAGTTATATGTGATATAAATTATTTCTTATAAAAATTTCTTTGAGAAGAAACCTGTATGGACTGGTGTGTTGCCAATTATCTGATTTAATTCTGCTCAAACAGAGGAGGAGTTGGAACTGACACCAAATTGGTAGTGAGTCAATGGAAGGATGTACAATAAATTTGGTCAGACTGTTTTTAATGTTTGAAAATGCCTTTTTGGTATTCATGATTTGTAATGTTTTGGTGTAGAATATTTTTTATCAACTCTGTAAGTGGTAACTGTATATCTGGGGTTGTGGAATAAGTTTCATGGATAAAATTCCCAGTCACCAAATCAACAGAGTGACTTTGAATTAGTGACTTCAGGGAATTAATTTCTTTCCTTTGTCTTGACTCCTACAAGAGATTAGTTCTATTGTAGCCTTGAGATTTAAATCCCTCTGGAAGAATTGCCACTTGTCCAGTTAAATTTTTAGACAATTTTCTTGAAGAATCCCAAGGACTTGCCTTATATAATCGTAGTATTGTTCTGTTTCAGAAAAAATTAAACATTATCCACATATGCAAAAGTGCAAGTGTTCTGAAGGAAAATGTCCATGAACCTTTGAAATATTGCCATTGCATTTTGCAGACCAAAAGTTTTTTTTTTTTATATATTCCTTTCTCATTGGTATCTAATTGATGTTTGTAGAAAATCAGTTTTTGATAACAAAAAAATTTTTATCGTTCATTTTAAAGACAGTGCTAATTATTGGTACCAGGTATTTGTCAGGCTTGGTGGCTACATTTAAATTCTTATAGTTTGTATAACATTGCCATTGTACAGTTTTGGATTTTAATGCTATTTGTAAAAGTGACTATCAAAATGACTTCAACTATCTAATAATTCTTGCTTGTAGTAGTGCTGTAATTTCTTCTTTTGTAGTTTTGAATTTATCCTAAGACAATTATATATGTTTGGAAAAAGTAGGAATACTGTATCAATATGATAGCTGATATTTTAAAGAGCTAAGTCAAGTGAATTCATTATTGGTGTAAGTAGAGCTGGTAAGTCTCTGAATAAAGATCCTACAATTTCTGGGACAATGTCACTGTGGTTTATCAAAATCTGGTGTTTAGGCCCCTAATGTGGGTAGTACTGTGTAGATGGATCTATCCTCTACCATTTTTGCAGTTTAACAGGAAGTCATAAAGACACAGAAAATTTGTACCAAAATGTCAATCTGTATGAACATCAAGTCCAAGAATGTCAATATAAAATGAAGCTCGTCTATTGCATTGGATATCCTCTCTTTTAGTAAAATATAAAAAGACAGGCTCTGGATTTAAACAGAATCCATTGGTATACATAAGAATTGTTACAAATATATGTGTAACAATAAACCTCAGAAAACAACAAATTACTGGTTGTAGTAATAATCTATCCAATTAAATTTCAGTAAGGAATCAGTGTTATTAGACCTAAGGCTTCTGATTGATGACACTGGTCTGGTGTTTGGTTAGTTTTTATACAGAATTTTATCTAGCTACTTTACATGTTTAGGATTTTTTCAAAAATATATGTGGACATAGCATATGTAGAGTCTTTGGTTTTCATAGAATAAACAAACTTCTGTAGATACCTCAGTTTTTGAGGGTGCTGCAGTTCTTTGTTGTTTTGTCTCCTGTACCCTTCAAGTGAAGTTATGCAAGCCTGAGCCACATTGCTCTTTATGAATTGTATCAGTTTATTGGCTAAGGTTCATACTTCAGGCAATATGAAGTCCTTAACCACAGCAATAACTGGTTTTATATTGGATAGTACTCCCATTTTGTTGGATGTTGCCATTAACTCTCACAAGTAGTGAAAGGCTCTGCCTGTCAATTTTGTTTTGCGTATTAGTTTAGCAAAATGCTTGGGGTGTTTTTGATAACTGAAAAAAAAAGCTTCTTTGAGTTTATCATATTTTTTATTTGTTAAAATGAAAACCTGGTGTCTTGCAATCAGTTCTGCTGACAGTGCCAAAGGCTCATGAAATAACTTTGTTTCTGCATTCATTATATTTGACAAGCTGAACTGAACATCAATGATTGCAAACCAGTCAGTATTCTTCATAAATGCAAGAACTTTAATAGTTATCATTAATATTGTCAGTCATATCTGTGTGATATGACCTGTTCCAATGTTGGGAACATGAGGGAAGAAAATACTGGTATTTGGTTTTATTCTTTAACAGGTGGGTAACTTTAGCATTCAGTAAATTTTGATCAAAAGAACTGATGTCTTCTACATAAAAGTTACTTTTTGTCATATTTAACAAATTATATTGGGCTGTGACTATGTGTTCACTGTCCTGGTTTTGAGAAGTTACTAAAGTTACCTCTTACCCTAAGCATAGTTAGTGGGTGAAGAGAGCAACCTTAACTCTCATTACAAGAAGTTTGTGGTATTAGATCTTAGTAGTAAAAACCTTTTTTTTTTTTTACTTTTGCATGATAGGAAAAGACTTTGTGTGTGTGTGTGAGCTAATTCTTTTTTATTTCATGTTAACTATTACAGATACATGGCAATATCATCATAAATGACATTTTTTACATGAAGAGTAAATAAATCTACTTTTCAAATTTACTAATCTCTAATTTGGAAAAATAGATTGACCACTGGATAAATCTTGACTGTTTAGCAGATTATTGAGGGCCTCAGAGCAAAGAATCTACAGGCCACTTTACTTTATGTAGATTTCTCTAAATCCTTCAGTTCTGTACATACAGAACAAATGATGGAGATCCTTCTGGCATATGGCATCCCTCTGAAACAGTAGTTGCCATAATGATGCTATACTGAAATGCCAAATCTTTGGTAAGATCCCCAGACAGAGACACTAGCTTCTTAGACATTAAAGCAGGGGTCCATCAGAGTGACAACTTTGCACCTTTTATCTTTGTTATCACCTTTGACTACATATTGAAAACTTCACTTGATAAACTTCATCGTCTAGGTTTTACTTTATCACCAAGACTCTCAAGTCAATATCCTGCAAAAAAGTTGACCAATACTGACTATGCAGATAACCTAGCTATCACTACAGATATCATTACTAATACCACAGTTCTTCTACATCATCTAGAAAATGCTGCTAATTGAATCACAGCTCTATGGACCCGTCCCTGATATTTTTATAACCTTACATGAATGCAGAATTTGCTTTGCAGGATAATGCTTGTGAGCAAAATAAGAATTTGTGAGGGATCTACTGCTTTGAACATTAAGCCATGGCCCAGGGTTGGTTGGTTGTCAAGCAATCACCTACATTGACCAACCATGTTATGAGACAGAATGTCACCCTAATGACCTTCTAACTTTGATGCAGACCCTGAAGGACAGACTCATGGATGTCCAAGCTAGCTTGACCAAATATATATATATATATATATATATATATATATATATATATATTCATGCATCATCAGTTGATATTGTTATCAATTTCATTAGCTTCATAGACAATTTAATGAACAACTGGATTATTATAAGTTATTTCTGATTATTGATCTTGTAAACCTTAACTTTTTGAGTGATGTTTTACTTACTAAATGCATAATAGGTACTTGATGCATGAAACATTGTTTTTGTCTGGTTACCAACCACCAATGCCAATATTACTAGTCATAGACATTTCATTGCGTTGTCAACATCATTTGTTATTAGATATCATCCTCTCATTTGTTGTGTCACTTTCATCACACAATACTGTTTATTTCTATCCAATGTCTTTGGTTATTGACAATTATTTTCATCCAAACTACCTTTTAGATTTCACTTTAAATTATGTAAGTCACCAACTTTTTATATTAGCTTCATTAGAAATATGAGAATTATTTCATGACTGACTGAAATATTACCTCATTCTAAAAATACCTTCATTTGTATTTCATTGCAGTACTGACAACAACCTTCGAATATTATCCTGATCTACAGGGTGGCCTCAGTTTCTTTAGTTCACATTTATTAAGCTCAGAGGAAGAATGTAAAGAACTGTGCAAGAATGAAAAATGGTGTCAGATGACAACTTATGTGAATAATCTGTGCATCCTCTATGATGACCATTCTGTGTCTCTGAGCCAATCAAATGTGGGAGCTGTCACATTCAAAAAGCACATCATAAGTGATCCTTGTAAGAAATTACAATGTGCATTGGCATGAGGAGACTTAAAAAAGCTATTTAATGTATGTCGGCATGAAGAACTATATAATAAACATAACAGGTGTTTATGTCTGAATTTCTGGGATGAGGAGTTATTATTTAGACTATTTATATTCAGACTATTGTCCTCATCTTTGTTGTTGTTATCAGAACATTTCAGCTATTGTGCCCTCCAACATTCATTAGGTGTATATCAACCTGGTTAACCTACATGAATTTTTGAATTGAACCCTTTATTTAATCTCCAGGGTTGACTGTTCTCGTTCTACTGCCCATGTCTAGGGATATCACATCTAGTTCTTATTTTTAGTACTGCTCTGGATTGAACTCACAATTACTATGTCACCAAATTTATGAACCAATGCTTTAATCCACTAGGCCATTCTCCCATAGCATTGGTTTGTGAATTTGGTAATATACTAATTGTGAGTTCAATAATCCCTGGGCCAGACAATGAGTACTTTGGCTCAGTGGAAAAGGGACAAGTACCTGCACAGTACTAAAAATAAGAACTAGATGTGATATCCCTAGACATTGGCTGTAGAACAAGCACAGTCTAATTCGATAGATTAAATAAAAAACTCAGTTCAAAATTCCTTGTAGGTTACCCAGATCAACACAAAACTGATGAAGGTTGGAGGTCATAATAGCCAAAACATTGTGATAACAAAGATGAGGACAATAGTCCAAATATAAATAGTGTAAATAATTATAGGTGTTGAAAAGAAGATTCCATAAGCAGACAATTTTTTTTTGCATGAAGAAAAGATTATTTTATATAATTCCTTTTTATGGTTTTTTTCAAATTACTGTTTTGTGATACTGTTATTGATTTTAAGTGCATGTTATCCACATGTCATAATCACTAAACAGGACCCTCTTTGGGATTATTTTCTAAAAATATTGTTTTTAAGATGAAGTTAATACTGTGAGTAGGGAAACTAATAACAAAGTAACAGTTTTTCATATAACATAATAATTATGCATGTATATTCTCTAGTTGAATTTTGAATATTTCATTAGATACTTTAGTGTCTTTTTTTCCTAATACATGACTATCGTATTTTCTCATGTGTGGTTGATCTTACCAAGTTTTGTAAAGGGGATGAATGTTATGTTTGTTGTTCAAGATTGAGATATAATTCTAATTGACAACCAAAGTAGTGAAATCAATCTAAAGCCTTTTATGATTTTATCACACCACGGGCGACAATAGTCACTGTAGAATTCTCTCCCTTTGCTACTCTAGGCTCATTCGGTCGCCTGAGACGGTTGCTATAAAAAAACACTTGTCAACTGTTATTTCTGGTATCTACTACTGCTTTGGAACAAGGTTAAATTTCCGGTTTCCAACGCCATTTTGAATTCTAGACTATACAAGGTGTAACAATAACATTGATTTAAATCCACGTTAATTTTTTCGCTATTTTTTGTAAACAAAAATGGCCACGTCAATATCCAACAAAGCCTTTCTTCAGGAGTTTTTCTTTGATTAGGACTCCGATGATGATTTTGAAGGCTTTACTCGAATGGATATTGACGGTGAAGTGATCGGAGATGATAATCACGCTAGTGACGTGGAGGAAAGCGACGATGACCATCAGCCATGCCTGAGTAATTTTATGGAAGCTACTGGCAACCATCGATATATGATAGCCTTTCTGAAGGCGAATTATTTTGTCTATTTACAAACGACGAAATAATAACTTTATTCGTCAACGAGACATGATTATGAGTCAGGGCAAATAAATGCTAGAGTGTCTTCTCGCATGTAAACACTTTTTGACAAAATAAAAACCTTTTTAGCGATTTTGCTTATTTACCCCCCACCCCCCGATCTCCGCAAAGACTAATAAAAGTTAAAGTACGTTGAATTATTTACGTATTTTTTAAATGTATTTGATTTTTATTTTGCATTTTTTTTATTTCGCGTTTCAATCTTTTGTTTTCAACGTCAAAACGCATGCAAAACGTAACGTATTACATACTGCATTAGATCAAAATATTATTCATTCATTCTTTTATTAGTGTACAAAAATTAAAAAATCTATACGCAAAATACAAAGAAAGTTATAACAAGTTTAAAACCAGGTGTTCATGTTTTTGCACCCTCAAAAAAAATGCAGTGGCAGGGGGAACAATTCCAGAAAGAAATTAGTGTGAAAAGTTATTTTTTTTAACTTAATTAAAGAAAATCTGTCTATTTAAAAATGAAATTTTGAAAATGAATGGATGTGAAATTGGATATCTTAGCATATTATCTAAAGAAAGTTAATTGAACCAAATGTTATGATGCTCTATTTTAGATTGTTTCATTTAATATTTGAAAATAATATGAATCATCTTTAATGTAGTTTAGTGGATGATTTAAATTGGTTTAAATACTTATTGAGAAAAGCTACTCTAAAACCCATATTTCTGGGATCTTCATACAAGATGTGAGTTTTTAATATATATGAAAAAGGACTCATGAGAAAGGAAATATTTTTGCACTCTTGAATATTTGCATGTTTATACACAAATACAAATGCATGCATGTATGAACATCCTTATGCACATACAAGGGGGTGTTGGTAAGTTCTCAGTCTGATCTACTTGCCAAAATCAGTTTTTCAATGACCAAACATGATTTTTTTCTTTTTTTAAAAATTAAAGAAACTTGATAAAACATGAGCCAAGTGTGGTGAACAGCAGTGTTGAATAGTATTTACACTTCATGCCTTTAAGGTTTGTTCTTGGTTGAGCCAAGAATATATCAACACCCTCTTTTATGTATTAATAAATAAACTCAGTTTTAAAATGTACATAAGTATATATCTACATAGGACCTGAATATTTTATAAAAGTTAATATTATTTTCCTAATTTTAATTCAGTGTTCTCAGGAATGAACTGTGAAAAGAAGGTGAATCTTGAATGTAACAGTACCACTTGTGGTGTCCATGGAGTCTGCCAAGAATTACCACAGGGTTACTTGTGTCACTGCTCTTATGAAATATTTCTTGGCATGAAGTAAGTACTTCTGTTTTATATGTTGGCTTCTTATATAATTTATAGGAGAGAGAGAGAGAGAGAGAGAGAGATTAAATGTACTCAAGAATCATATTAAATACTATCCAAGGCAGGAAGATTTATTAGAATTACAGTTACTTTTAATAAAAAAGCAAAGCATTGAAGCAGATGGCTTGCAGTTCAAACAGTATCGGTAACTAATTTACTATTGTTTACTATAGCATTTTATTGATATTAACCAAAATTAACCTGAACCATTTTAATAATAAATCTGTGGACTGTTGATTAATTGCTTTGTCTTAATTGGTATAGTAACTGTATAGTGACTTTATTGCCACTCTGTATATATAGAGTCTCCTTCAAAAGTATTGGAATGGTAAGGCCAATTCTTTTGTTTCTATTGTTTCCTGAAGACATTTTGACATGAAGATCAAAAGATGAATAGGAGACAAGAGTTCAGAATTTCTGCTATTATTTCCTGGTATTTATTCAGACATACCACCTATTGTTTGAACTCACCCATTTTTCAAGAGAGCAAAACTATTGAAACACGTGACTGATAGGTGTTACTTGTTGCCCAGGTGTTACCTTTCAGATTGATTTTTAAACATTAAATAGCTCTGAATGACTATTGTTTGTAGTTTGCTCTGTTTGTTTTAGCAATGGGTTTCACCTGTAAAGACTGCATTTCTTGTTAAAAATGGATAAACCAACATGGAGACAAGAGAACTGTCCATGGGAGAAAAGCAAGCCATTTTTGAAGCTGAGAAAAGAAGGAAAATCAGAGCCACTGGACAAATATTGGGCATAGCCAAAACAACAATTTGGAATGTACTAAAAAAGAAAGAAACTACTGGTATACTGAGCAACATAGAACAGGTTGACCAAGGAAAACAACAGAAACATTGTGAGGAAAACCTCCAAAACAACAGTCACATTAGCATCAACCTCTGCAAGTGCAAGGGGTGGTTTCACAATTCACAAGTCGAAATATAGAGACAAACCACTCATTAGCAGTAAGAATCAGCAGGCCAGATTGGAATTTGCAAGGAAGTACAGAGATGAGCAACAAATATTTTGGAAGAAAGTGTTATGAAGTAATGAGACCAAGATTAATCTCTACCAAAGTGATGGAAAGGCCAAAGTGTGAAGTAAGAAAGAATCTACTAACGATCCAAAGCATACAAGCTCATCTGTGAAGTATGGTAGAGGCAGTGTTTTGGCTTGGGCTTGCATGGATGCATCTGGAACAGACTCATTCATATTTATTGATTATGTAACTCATTATGGTAGCTGCAGAATGAATTCTGAAATCTTCAGAAATTTATTATGCATCAAGACAATGACCCAAAACATACTACAAACACAACAAAGGACTTCATCAGGGGAAAAAAGTGGACGTTTTAAACTGTCTGGCCAAGTCAATCACTGGACTATAAGCACATGCATTACATCTCCTGAAGTGGAGACTGGTGGAAACCCCCTGATCCCCTGCTGAAACAAACATGAACTGAAAGAAGCTGTGTTAAAACTCTGGAAAGCATTACAAATGAAGAATGCAAGAGTTTGGTGATGTCAATGAGTCATTTGATGCATTTGTTGCAAGCAAAGGTCATGCAACCAAATATTAAATGTTATTTACTTTAAGAATCTCTGTTCCTTTACTTTTGCTTACCTAAAACTGGGGTGATCTGATACAAAAGGTGGTATGTCCTAAGTTGTTTAACACAACTAAATATAAATACCTGCAAATAAAAGCTGAAATTCTGAATTCTCTCATATTCATCTTTTGATTTTATACCCAAATGTCTTCAGGGAACAATACTTTTGGAGGGGACTATATATTACTTGCATTATTTACATTACTTGGACTGTTATCCTCATTTTGTTTGCCATCTTCACAACATTTTGGCTGATGATTGGAATTTTGAATCAAACCCTTTATGTTGTCCACCAGGGCAGATTCTTCTAGTTCCATGTGCCATGCCTCTACTGGATGTTTCAGTTATTTTCCTTTAACTCAACTCTCTAAGTTTTTCTGGTATTGAACTCACAGCTCTTTGAGTCTAGTCACTGGATCTAACCAACGTCTTTATCCACTGGGCCATGTGTCCTTGAGGACATCTGTGTATAAATTTTGGGACTTATAAACAACAGCAATGATCAGTGCTCATATTGCAATTTTTTCTGTTATTATTATTGCATTTTTTACCAGAGCTTATATTGCAATTTTTGTTGTTATTCATTGCTTTTCTCTAGCACTTATTACTGGTTCCCTTATTGTATTCATTTCTATGTTTGGTTGGCTCAGGAGATTTTTGTGGCCCAGCATCTGTGTTGATTCATTATGTTTTCATATTTTCCACTGATGCTCTCTGTCTATTATTTCAACCTTATCCCACAGGGGGTGGTGACCTCCCTTTTCCCTTCATATGTGATCAGCTCTCAGCCTTTTCTCCTTTTTATTTCTTACCACAGCTGCACGGGATGGTGTAAACAGAGTCCTTAGTCATGTTCTCCTCTAAAGAGGAGGTGTCTGTGAAGTGTTGAATCACTTTTGAAGGTTATCCTGATGTTATATGGACCACAGGTTTTTTGTATTTTCTCGATAATCCCTTCACATAGGATAGGCAGACTGTTTTCTGAGTGCTGTTATCCTCTTGTACTCTTTTATGGGTGGTGGGAGTTGAGGTATTGCCTGGTGAATGTTGGCTTGCAGTATATGGATGTCTTCAACCCATGCTCTGTTAGAGATATTAGTACATCCAGGAAGGCTAGTTTGTTGTTTTCTCTCTCTCTCTCTATCTATCTATATATATATATATATATGTTTGTGTGTGTGTAATAGAAATAAGCAGCACTTAAAATGAGTCTGCTATATATAAACACACTAAACTGCTCTGTGTCACATTAAATGGCAGAACTTTATTAAATTATAAATCAAATTTCTGGTGCACATTGACCAACCACTACTGTCAATTTCATGCTTTTATGCAATCATCAGGTGATAGGTACCCATAGTATGAAAATGGGAACTTTTGTGCCACCAGGCAAATGTGAGATGGAAAAATATAACTGGTGTGTGTATATCATACACACACTGACCAAACTCACTCAAAACGGGAAAGCACCCATCCAGCTGAGATATAAAAAAATGTAAAATGACTATATTTTTTCCATCTCAGAATCGCCTGGGCTATTTTTGCACTACAGTTACTGAGTGGCAGACAATTGCATAAAAGAATGAAATGGACAGATTATCTATGCACACACACACACACACACACACACACACACACATATACATATATTTGTCTTTGTGTATGTGTGTTTATTTATATATGTGTGTGAGTGTGATTACATATTTTTGTATGTCATTATTTATATATGTGTATGTGTGATAATATATGTATATGTGATTATTTATATATATGTGTGTGTATGTGTGATTATTTATATTATGGAAATAAAAATGGCAAGACAAGCTTTAACATTCATGATTAAATTAATCAGCCAACCAGTTTCACCCTCACTCAACAGAGTTGAAACTGAGGGAAGACTAAATATTACAATATAAAATGTAAAAAATATAAAATAACCGTATAAACAGGGACGAATTGAGGTCTAATTTTGCTAGCCTATATCAGAAGGTAGGACACCACTTTTTACCCATGCCACCTTAATCACTGAAACTGTGTTACCTCCCCTGGTTGGTAGCTGACGTGGGCATGCTTTCACAC